GTAATCCTTGGAGTTTAGAAGGATGAGAGGCAATGTTATTGAAAACATACAATATGCTTAAGGGACTTGACAGGGTAAATACAGAAAGGTTATTTCCCACTGTGGGAGAGTCTAGACACAGGACATAATCTCAGAGTAAGAGGTTACTCATTTGAAACAGAAATGAAGAGGAATTTCTTCTCTACGAGTGTAGTGATTCTGGGGAATTCTGTACCTGAAAGGGCTGTAGAGGCTGGGTCATTAAGTACATTCAAGACTGAGAAAGACAGATTTGTAATCAGTAAGGTAAACAAGGGTTATAGGGAAAAGGCTGAGAATATCAGATCAACTATGATCTCAATGAGCAGAGGAGCAGACTCGATGGGCTGAATTGCCTAGTTTAGCAGCTATGTCTTATGATCTTATTTCCATAATCTTGTGATACTGGGAGTGAAATTGGAAAGCGGTTGAGGTGAATGGTATTGATGCACTTAAAGAGAAGCTGTAAAGTACATGAGGGAGAAAAGAAGAAGGATATGTTGATAAAGAAAGATGAATAAAGGTGCACAGAGGACTGTGTGTAGCACAAACACCCAGACCAGTTGGATTGAATGGCTTGTTTCTAGATCATAAACTCTGGGGGCAGAATCTTACAGGAACCTGAGTAGCATGGTCTATGGTGAGATTTGTGGCAGAATCATACGAGAAGTGCAGTGAGGCCTCTCTCAATATCCAAAGCAATTCCAGCTGCATCTTTTACATGTTTGCTGAGAGGCTGTGACTTGTCAATTAAAAGGGATTAATTATAGATTGCTACAAATCACTTCATTAATATTGAGTTTCTTAACTTTCCAAGCACTCTGAATAAGCTAGGAGTCAAGGAATTCCTGACATGGAAGTCAGAGCAAGTACCTGGCAACTTCAGCTTGCCACCAGTCACTAACAGCCTCCGTGTGGCTCAGTACCAAACAGAATTTCAGGGCATGAGCTATGGACACCAGCTGCACACAACCCTCATAGAAGGACATTGGTATATGACATTTGCTACTGCCTCAGGGCCATCATGCTCCTTTCTGATTCATCTGTAGGCCACTTAGGAAGCACCGACTTGAATCGCATGGTGCACTAGCAACAAACATTGAAAGGTTGCTGCAAGGACATTTTCTGTGTAAGGACAGGTATTCAGCTCACAACTGGATTAGGCTCCATCTCAAAGCTGCTCGCTTGCTCTCTTAGCACCAGCTCACTTAGTGCCTGTCACCATATTTGTAGCATCCATGCCTTCATTTGCCAGTCAGCGTGTCGGTTACTGGAGAGATGTAGCCAATGATTTTGATGAATTATTCTACACTATACAACAGATTCATATTATCAGGTCTAAATGTGATAAATAGTTTGTGACTGTTATAGTAATTACTGCAGGAGGAGAGCATCAAGTAAACAAGTATCAGATTGACACCAGGGCCTTGTACAACATTATGAGCTTCACAGACCTGTTTGAAGGGACTCAAAATAGTGACCCAAAATTGAAGCCCTTGAAAGTAAGATAACAGAATGATACTCACACCAAAAGGGCAAATGAAGGTGAGAATCCTGTGCAATTGGAAGAATGAAGATCTGGACATCCAGATTGTAGATATTAAGCAAAATCTACTCATCTCAGCTAAAACAAATCCAATGATTGAATTGGAAACACTACACGGGCTATAGAAAATTTATAGCACTTCGCACGCCACCTGCTCCAGTCCTACCTGGGTCCCCACCCACAATTTTTTTTCAATACAGCCACAATATCATTGGTGCTGCTTTCTGCTCTTGTCTGGATTTGAAAAAGTTCATCAGCTTCACTTTCAATTTCTATCCTTCTCTCATCTTCACCTGGTCTGTCTCTAAACTTCCCTTCTCTTCCTTGACTTCTGTTTTCACTTCTGAGGAAAGGTTGTCCACCTATATCTATGACAAGCCCAGTGACTCCCATAGTTATCTCAACTACACTTGCTGCAAAGATTCCATTCTGTTCTCCCACTTTCTTCATTTCCGTCATGCCTGTTCCTATGATGCCAATTTTCACTAGTGTGCCTCCAACATGACCGCCTTTTTGCTCAAACATGAATTCCCCTGTCTCCTCCACTGTGGCCTTTGGCCATATGTGACCCGCATCCCACACTTCTGCCCTCATCCCTCACTCTCCTTCCCAGAACAATGGTGGGTTTCCACTTGTTCTCACTTTCCATCTTACTAGTCGGCGCATTCAAAAAATTATTCACCATTTCTGCCAGCTCCAACAGGACACCATGACCAAACTCATCTTTTCTTGCCCTTTATTGTCAGCATACTGCAGGAACTATTCCTCATTGTCAAAGGCCCAAACTCACCTTCCAAGTGAAGCAGCATTTTACTTCTACTTTTTAACGTCTAGTCTACTGTATTCGCTGCTCACAATGTGGTCTTCTTTATACTGTTAAGGCCAAAAGCAGACTGGGAGACCGTTTTGTGTAACATCTCCATGCTCTCCATATGAATAACCACCAACTTCTTGTTGCTTGCCATTTTAATAAACCACCTTGCTCTCATCCCAATACTTCAGTCCTGGGCCTGCTGCAATGTTCCAATGAAGCACATCACAAGGTTAAGGAAAGACATTTTTTCTGCTTAGGCACTTTACAGCCCCTAGAACTCAAAATTGAGTTTTACAACATCAGAGCCAACACTCTCCATTTCCATTTTTCCCAATGCTATACCCCACACCCCACCACGGTCTCATCATGTTTATTTTGCTCTCAGCTGCAAGGACCCATTTGCTCCATTTCACATCTTAATTTAAATACATTTTCCACCTTTTTCTCTTTCACCACAATTAAGAATCTCTTTGTCTTTTGCACCTACTCCCCTTGCTCCTCCTATATCAAAGCATTAAAAAAACACCATTTTGCAACCCCTTTCAGTTCTGACGAGTCATATTAGACTCAAAATGTTACCTCTGTTTTTCTCCTCACAAACACTGCCTGAACTGGTGAATTACTCCAGCATTTTGTCTCTTTGATTCAGATTTCCAGCATCTGCAGTATTTTATTTTTACCTTAACTGACTTAATCACTTCATTCCCTCAAACGCAGGTTTGCCACTCAGCACCATCCCACCAAAGAAATGCTTCTCTGTCACTTGGAGGAGAAGATTAAATTCCACCCTATTTTCAATTTCTAATTTTCATTAAACGACTCTATAAATTGATTCAACTTAAAATTTCACTAGCTGCCCCAGTGGGATTGGAATACATGCCCCGGAGTATTAGCCTAGGTCCCTAGATTACAAGTCCAGTGATATTACCACAATGCCATTGCTCATCTCACTTACACTGTGAATCAGCCTTTGTATTGTTGCTTATACCTTCTACAGAAATTGTGTCTGTATTTGTGCAAAAGCAGTTTGTACATAGTCAGAGCCTACTCTTGGGCAGCACGATGGCACAGTGGTTAGCAATGCCACTTCACAGCACCAGCATTTACTCCAACCTCAGGCGGCTATCTGTGTGGAGTCTGCACATTCTCCCCATGACTGTGAGAGTTTCCACTGTTGCTCTGCTTTTCTCCCACAGTCTAAAAATGTGCAGGTTAGATGGAATGGCCATGCTTAATTGCCCTGTAGTGTCCAGGGATGTGCAGGTTCGGTGAATTAGCCATAGAAAATGTGGGATTGGGGAGGATGGGTCAGGGTGGGATGCTCTTCAGAGGGTCATTGCAGACTCGATTCTTTATAAACTCACCAACTCCTACTGCTACCTCATTCACACCTCCTCAAATGCTTCTTGTAAGTACTCTATTCTCCCAGTCTCTCCATCTGTGTTGCATCTCTTCCCATGGTGCTACCTTCCACATTGGTGGTTACAATACTTCTTCCTTTATCAGTGCAGGCTTGGTGGGCCAACGGGCCTGCTTGGTGGGGCAAGGTCCTCAATCGTGTCTGACCCATTTCACACATTTCTGCCTTCATCTCTTTCCCTCCCTCCCAGGGCTTTAACAGAGTTCCTGTTTCCATGATTTGCACTTCAACAGAATCCATATTCAAAGGTCATCCTCTGCTATTTTGGCTACCTCAAAGCTCATTTTCCCTTCACCTCCCATCAGCATTCTGAAGGGGCCAATCTCTCCATGGCACCTTGGTCCACTCCTCTATCACCCTAAACACATTATCCCCTTTCTGACACCTTCTCATGCAATTGCAGCTGGTACTACACTTGTCTTTTCCATCGTCCATCTTCACTGTCCAAGGCTCCAAACACTCGTTCCAGGTAAATCAGATCAATTCATTCTACTATACTCACTGCTCACACTGCAGTCTCTTTTACATTAAAGAGGCCAAACAGAGACTAGGTGACTGCTTTGCAGAAAACCTACACTGAGACAAGCAAGGTAACAAGCAAGACCTTGACCTTCTGGTCACTTGGTATTTCAACATGCCATCTTGCTCATACTTATATTTATTTGTGTCCTACGTCTGCTGCAGTGTTCCTGTAAAGCCAATGGCAAGCTGAAAGAATAGAACCTCTTATTTTGTTTACACATTTTACAGTCTTCTGGATTCAACATTTAGTTGAGCAACTTCAGACAATGAACTTCAACCTCCTAGCTCCATTCCACGTGTCTGGTTTTCATGGTTCTGCTTTCACAAGAGCTGACCTATTTTTTGGCTCAGGGCAATCTCCCTGTTAATAGCAATCTCCCTGCCAACCATTCCCTTTGCCATCTGTGATCTCTAATCACCTTTAATCTTCCCTTATCTTCTGTTCCTTGCGCCTCCCTACATTTTACCACAGTAAAAAAACTAATTATTTTTTGCACCTCTCTCTTCAGTTCTTCAGAAGTGTCATCCCAGATTTAAAATGTTAACTGTTTCTCTCTCCACAGATGCTGATTTTCTACAACACATTCTCTTTTATTTCTGAAAGCAAATAAACATTTTCTAAAATGTAATTAACACAACATTTTCAATCTATCATTCCATTCATCATTTCTTATACATACCTATATATGGAATTGAGGCCAAGGAATCTTCTGATGATTTTGCATCCCTTCTTACCAGCTTTCCATTTGTTTGCTCCAAAGATGCATTTTCAGATTTGTCAGCTGGAATCAAATTTGCAGGTGGCAGTTCTGGTGAATCCACAGCTACCATGTAGGCTGGGTGCCTGACAGGATGTGGTATCCTACGCCCTGTAGGAGGTTTTTGCCTTAAAATTACAGCTTCGTTAATTTGTGATGTTTCCTGTTCCTTCTGTGCAATCTCCTGAGGAATACCACTGATACATTCAGAGATTTTGGATGTTCCTGGCTTTGCAACAGCAAATAGTTGGATCTCATGTTGAGGCACTGCACCCTTGTTTGAGTTCCTGTCTGATGGTTTTTGATACAAACCATCCTGCCGATCATGATTGGTCAGTCTTTGGTCATGAACCACGGGAACGTCAATTCTCTGTACTTGACAGGGTGCACAACGATCAACCTTAGGTGCACGAGCAGTCAAAGCAGAACCAAACACTGCCCTATTTGAAAGATGAGATGTTTTGTTTTGAGAAATACTGACAGGCAGATGATCTACAGGCACAGCATCTATCCTCTTTACGGAATGAGCGTTACCAGTTGTGTTCCTGCATTGTTGCTGAGGAGGAATAGACACTCTAGAGTTACTACTATTGTAATACGCATTCATTTTGCTCGAGGTCTGTTGGGATAAATTCTTCTGGCCATGCATTGCAGTATTTCCTGATGAATGGCCTGCTGGTCTATACTGTTGCCAAAAGATTTGTTCTTGTCTGCCAGACATGGAAATCCCATCATTTGTTGCTCCAGTCCTTGAATGTGTCCATAACAACCTATCCCTAGCTGCTGTAAAGGAATCGCATGTTAAATTCTCTAAAGATTTGTCACATTTCCCCAAATAATCTTCTGATCGAGTCCGCAAACTCCATGATTCATTCATGGGGGAAAGTAGAGTGTCCTGGGAAGCACTGTGAGGCCAATGTTTGTGCAATGAAGTCTCCTCAAGTCTGTCCTGGGAGAAACTTCTGTATTTTGGGGGCATAGCAGAGTAACAGCGATCTTCAGAGGAGCTTCGACGTGGTAATTGTGTTGATCGCCAACTGGGCAGGTTATATTGTTGTTTGGTTGTCTTCGGGCTGCCAAGTTGCTCCCATGACTTCTTAATGTCAGAATTAAAATAGTCATTTTTCATTTTGCCCTCAGAACTGATGTAACTCCTCTGATCAATGTTATTCTTTAGAGCTGAATAAATGCTGTGGTTTGAAGCTAGTGGAAAAGGAAAATCTTTGGGATGTCCCCCATACCTATCTTGCACAGTCATAATGGAACCATGTTTATTGCTCATTGGGCCCTGTGTAATTGAGCTACCATGGGCTGCATTTGAAGAGGTGGAAATAGGTATTCCACTCAACAGGACTGATTTCTGCTTCATCCCATACTGTAACTCCTCCACATGATGCATATGACTTGAATGAGCTATTCCAATCTCAGCCAAAATATCTGACGATCGTGCTTTCGCCCTTCCTTCGCACCATATGCTACTAGTTGTGGTAACACTGTCGGGAGGTGAGGATGGGTTGGAGTAGAATCCCCTGTCAGAACCTGAGCCAGTGTTGTAAATCCTATTGTCGATCTGTCGGCCTCGTGAAGACTCTGTCCATAAAGGCTCTGCAGTTTGGGTCATGGCCAAATGTCGAGGATAACATATAGGCGGAGGCTCTGGTATGTGCTGAGCACTACCAGAATATGGATCATTGCCTTTCAGATAAGCATCTTGCGAGTAGGCCTGTAAAATTGAACAAAACAAACATGAACATTCTTAAAGAAATTACTGATTACATAACTGCTAACAGGTAATCCCAGATTCTCTGCAAATTGAAGATTTGACAGCCAATATCTTCAAATACAGTTAGTTAGCTAACTGGAAGTAAAGTTAATTTTCAACACTTCAGCATGTTGTATTAATCATGTTAGCAGATAAGCTATTGTGCAAAAACTTTCCAAATTCTGTATTTGTGTTAGCCATTCCATATCTCTACCATTCAGCATAGCAGAACAAATTCCCAAGACAGTCATACCAAAATAGATTCAGATTCCACAGCAATTCTACAATTTTATTTTCAGTTCTTAGGAAAGGCAAACACATATACAAAGGATTTCACTATGTCTTTTCACTGTTGCTGATTGACCTTCTGCCTAACACTTGACATTTTTCTTTTATTTGACTTTGACTTCCATGAATTGAAAATTTCACTCAAAGAGGTAAGAAACAGCAATTACTATTAGTTACACACAAACCTATTGGAAACATTGAATAACCTACTGATCACTAGATTGCAATAGGAAAACAACGTTCACACTTTATTTTCATGCAAATTGAGTTAAAGAAATAAATACCATAAAGTCTTTTGGAATCCATTTTATCAGAATATTTACTATTTACTGAGTTTCTATTAATGCTTAAGATCACTCATTCTATCGGTTTTCCCAAACTTCGTCTCCAATCCATCTTAACCATTGTAATAAGTAAGTATAGCAGAATAGAAACAGCACACGTATCATCAATACTGTGTGTGTCTTAAGCACATGAAAAGATGGAAACATCACCATAAATGTGCTAATGACTCCATGGTAAATATTACCTGTTATTTTGCAAAACGTATGGTATTCTTCATTCATTGGCTCTGTAACAGTTAGTAACAAATTACAGCTCAGAGTAATAGGGTTCTTTAGTTCTAGGACGAGCCACTTAGTTGAGAAGAGGGTGGAGCAGAAACCTATGATAGCAAAGAGATGAGATGGAAAGGACTGGCTCAGGTTAAAGACCATCTCAGGTGATCTCACCTCACAGGTATCTACTGTCAAATGAGCATGGGAAGGTATTGATGCTGAAGTCAGGCAGAAGTACACAGCTTGCTCGCCTGCCCTCCCAACTGAAGGAGGCTGCATAGAAGCAAGAATGAAGAGAAAACAATGGGAAACAATTAAAGAATGCCCTGAAAAGATTTAAATTTCCCTAGGGTAGTTAACAGTAAGAAGTGGCAAGACAAAAGTAGGAGTCTATAATGCTTTATTAGCAAAAGGAAAATAAGTTAATGTTAAGCTATCGGAAAGACATATTCACAATTTTAACAGAGAAGCAATCTCCAACAAATCAGAGAAAGCATGAATTTATAATTGGTATACAATAGAGCATTCTTCTTCCTCGAGAACTCTAGTGACACCATTACAGAACTTGACTGAATTTAAAAATTAAAAATATACAAGTAGAACAGCTCAATAACATTGCAGGAATATGCATGATCCCTATGTGCTTATGAATTAAAGAATTCATACAGTGTGGAAACAGGCCATTTAGCCCATCAAGTCCACACCAACCCTCTGAACAGCATCCCACCCAGATCCAGCACCCCCATCCTATCCGTCTAACCCAGCATTTACCATGCGATTCACCTAGCCTGTACATCTTCAGACTGTGGGAGGAAACTGAAGCACCTACAGGAAACCCACACAGACAGTCGCCTAAGGCTGGAACTGAATCCGGGTCCCTGGCGCTGTGAGGCAGCAACACTAACCACTGGGCCACCGTGCTACCCCTTATGTTTCTTCATATATAGCTTCAGTAATTTCTTCAAACCTTTTGCCCACATAATAGCCTTCAAGAGTGCACGTTTGAAATAATTCCCTCAACAATGTCAGGATGACTTATTGTTAAATGTTTACACATATATTTTCATGTACAATAAAACTAACAGAAATGGGTAACAAAACAGATGTTGCTAGAAAGTGGGTCTTATTTAATAATATCAACTAACAGAAATTGTGTTCTGTAATGTTTTCCATTTATTAGCCATGTTCAAAACAAATCAAAAATAACAAAGAAACACTGAAATGTAGTATGGCATTATGCCAGCCCAGTTCATGCCATATCAGCACGTACAGGTTGTGATTTCAGAATGACTCAGTCAAAACAAGAAGGATCAAACAAATTTGAAGAAAATTTGAAGTTTATTTACATAGATGTCTATATATAACTCTAGATTTACATCAACATGGCTAACTCTTCATTCCTCTTGGGAGAAATTAGGAGAGGGCAATGACTCCTAGCTTCACCAATGATACTCACTTCCACTGAAAAATAAAAATATAAAATGGTTGCCAGGTGCTGGACTGTACACTTACATGTCTTGCACCCAAATTTAATCAAAATCTAAAATTTTGTTTGAATTTAAGGACAATGATGACTGTACAACCTATCAGCTTTACAGAATGAAGCACATCAAATCATCAGAAAAGTAAAAAGTGTAACATATCCCTTCAAAGCAAACCAAAGAATTGCAAATGCTGGAAATCAGAAACAAAAACAGAACTTGCTAGAAAAGCTCAGCAGCTCTGGCAGCATCTGTGGAGAGAAAGCAGAATTAACATCTCGGTTTCAGTGACCTAAAGAAGGGTGACTGGAACCAAAACATTAACTCTGCTTTCTCTCCATATATGGTGCCACACCTGCTGAGTTTTTCCAGCAATTTCTATTTTTGTTTATAATATATCCCTCAGTCACTTCCACTGGCAAAGTGAAGTATAAACATGTTATGTCTTTAACACAAGTTTTCTGTCATTTACTATGGCCATTTTATCTTTCAAATAAACACTTTTTTAAATGAACAGACAGATTTCATACCTGAAAAGAAGAACACTTTGTACTGCATGTAAAACTTCTGTTGTGTTACAAAACCACTGTGGCGTAACTGCAGAGTTTTTTTTGTTGGAAACTCTGCAAGTTTGAAGTAAACTTGAGATCCTTGATCCTAAACGTGTGATCCACTCTCATCCCCAATAATTGAACTGGGTAGTTTTCCACACAAAGGTATCAAGAGTCTTATTAACTCAACCACTTCTACCCTGGCATTTTGTGGCAGCTCAAGAGTAGGAGTTTAAAAATCGGTTTATATAATTTCTTCATATTTAGCAAAGACTTCATACAAATGTAAAGGGTTAAAAAGAAACCACTATTACTGATGAATTATGTTATGTGTACTGTGAAGTACAGAAATATGCAATATGCAAAGCAAAATATTTTCCTTTCAGCTATTCTGAGTTATATTATTTTTAAAAATTAGTCAAACTGTAGATACTCAAAATAAAACATTAGCAATATTTTTCGAAGAATTAAATCAGAAGTACACTAACGTATACTTACTAAAGAAATCCTATTTTATAAATGACATGCTGAATTTAAATATGCTATGTAAAGTAGTAAATTTTTGTACAATACATCCACATCATCTGAAATATGTATACATAACATGCTCAGTGAAACAATTTTTCATGTATAAACCAATTTCTTCAGGTTTTTCTCCAAACACTCTCCTTTTGATGATAATCCCTTCCAGGGTTCTTGTTGACAGCTCTCCTGAAGCGGCAGTTAATAAGTACTTGAAAACAGCAAGCAAAGACAAACTTTCTGATTTTTCTTCCCTCTGTGACAGAGCCTCAGCTGCCAAACGTATCTTCCAATAGCACAGGTAGGTTTGCAAACCTGCTGCAAAACCAGCAGACCACCTACTGAACCCCAACACATGGAGGAAGAATGGAAGAGATACAATCACCCAGCCGTTCTAAAGTACATTAAAAAAAACCTGTAGCCATCTTGTAATTTTGCTTTGATAAAATCAAAATTAGACTTTGATCATTTATGAGAGCATTGTAAATAGAAAAGACATGGTAGCAAAATAATATCACTGAAATTTTCATTACCGTGTTTAACTTCCCTTCATTTCAAGTAAAATTTTCCAGTGAGATAATTCTCCTTAACTGAACTAGCTCTTAGAAAACCACCTCCACTTTGGTTTCGCAATTTAGCATGCAGAGAAGTTCTTGTGTTAAGTGCAAATCGTCTAGTACTGTGAACAGGCCAGCAGCAGTTTTCCTAATGATTCGTCTATCAGAGTCTTCCTGCGACACTTCAGTGATGTCAGAGCTGGGTAATTTTGCCTATATCCATATACGCACTTTGTTGGCAGTTCACCTAAGACCACAGGAATGTAGCTACACCCAGACTTGGCCAGGGAAACAGAGATTAATTTGGAAAGAATGGCTGAAGACTTCAAAAAGTGTAGTAGCACTGCAAAAGTCAACATGAAGTTTTTACACTGTACAGGGGCAAGTTTCCATTTAATTTGCTCCTTTTGACCACTAATTTTCTGAGAATGCAATTCCTGAGTAAGGCAACATATTTCCATTTTAAACATACTAAAATTTCTTTTTAAAATGACAAGCTTCTAAACAGTTTGGAACATAACTTTCCTCCAACATGTTTTTTGGTGATCACAAACTTTTACCTCTAAGTGAATATCTGTTAAATATTACAGAAAGCCCGGCAGTCTGAAGTATTAAAAGTTTGCAATTTTATTAATAAACAGAAGTGAGATTAAAATAAGATTACGAGATGGTGTACTACAAATGACATCAATGGGTACTAATCTTTATGGCATTGATGTGTCCAGGGAGTTCTCATTTCTTGAGTGCATTAGATAATATTATAGTGACTTCACCGCAACATTCCAGTAACAGTACTACTGGATCCCTCTTACATTCCCCACAATTCAATAATTTCAAACTTGTTCTTATACACTTTTCCACCCTGACACATTCTTTGATTCAATGAGTGGTCAAAAATCTACTGATTATTGTCTTGGATATACTCATTGACTGAGCATCTGTAGCCACCTAGGATCAGAATTCCAAAAACTCTCAACCCTCTCAGCAAAAGAAATTCTCATCCCT